TTAAATACAGTGGTACATTGGTTCTCTAAACTTAATTCGTTTCATGGTTCTGGGGAAGATGGCTGTGATCGTGTTTGTTATCTCATGTGGAGTTTGTGAGTGGAAGCAAAATTTTGTGTGAGCTGAATTGTTCTTGAACAGAAGCATTTGTGAATATATATACAAATGTAATCTCAGTCAAAATTCCAACAGCTTTCTTCACAGAACTGGAGAAAACAATCTTAAAATTCACAGGAAACCAGAAGAGACCCAGAAGAAGAACAGAAGAAATTCTGAGTATCAACAGTAGGATGGGAGGCATCACCGTCTTGGACCTGAATTTATATTGCAGAGCTACTGTGATAAAAGGGACAGAAATAGACATGAGGATCAGTGAAACAGAAGAAGGATTCAGAAACCACCCCCAGGAGATTCAACTACTTGATTTTTGATAAAGGTGCCAAAAACACACTGGAGGAAAGATAACCTCTTTAGAGAATGGAGCTGGAAAAACTGACAATCCACACATAGAAGATTGAGTGTAGACTTATATATCTTAGATGCATTGAACTGAAATGAAAATGGATCAAAGAGAGAAATGTTCAGACCTTAACCTGTCAGGAAATAAAATGGGTAAAGCTCTTAAACTCATAGGCATAGGTGAGGAATTTCTCAGTAGAACCCTGGTTGCACAGGAAATAGTCCTGAGAACCAACAAACGGAACCATAGCAAATTTAAAAGCTTATATACTACGAAAACCCCATTAGACCTCCTACCTAGCATTATGGTGCATGGTTGCAAAAGAATGACAGAAATTTGAGCATTTGAGCTCTGGAATAAACCAGTGTCCAAAGAGTTATGGCTTTTATTGGTATCAATCAGGTAGGGATTGGGGCAGAGTGCTAGGAAAGAAAAACTTTGTAGACATTGGCTGTAATGAGAAACAGAATGCAGATACCTCCAGTTAGCAATATAAGAAAGTTTGATGTGTGCAGGGCTGGCATCTTTATTGCCAGGAAGGTATAATTCTGAGTCCCATGGTCTCAGCTGAGCTGTTATCTCATGTATTAGCCCTGGAATCACATAGCCTGGGTTCCAGCCACCAGTGTTCCAGTTCTTCTCACCTACATGTTGCTACTTTGTTACTGACCATCTGGACTGAATTGCATTTTGTTAGCAGAGTAAAAGAATATCTGTGTTATGGTTGATAGATCTTGTCATTTGAGAAGTTTAGAAGTTTAACTGAGAGACTCAGCAGGGAGCCAAAATCCTTACTTTGTAAATATCCTCATTCTGTGCAAGAGGAGGACACAGAGACTTTGTAAGTGCTATACCCCCCAGGAGGCTGTAGTTGGCCAGTGCAGACCTTAAGGGAGGAAAAGAGGTTTGCTCTTGCCTGCTTTTGCTGCCTGCTACCTTGAAGTATCCTGGTGCCATGCTGCCCTGCCTTGGAGCTGGCTGATAATGGACTGAAACTTCCGTAAACTACTCTAAGCTAAATAAACCTTGCCTGCCTTCATTTGGGGTGCTGGGTATTTTGTCCCAGCAATGAGAGAAATCAAGACAATCAGTTTCAATATAGTCAGCTCTGCATATCTCAGTGAATAGGGTTGAAGGAGAGGTTAGAGAAAGATCAAAGCAAGGGGCTTAGATTGAGGTAGAGGGCTTTATTTCCCTGGAGAGCACAGCTTGATGGTCTCCAACAGTGCACAGCAAAAGAGACAACCAATAGAGTGAAGACAGCCAACACAATAGGAAAAAAAATTTTGTGAGCTATTCATCATACAGAGGACTAATATCTAGGATATGTAAAGAATTCAGAAAGTTAGAGCCCTTAAATTAGAAGACCAAGTCATAAAATGGGCAACTGAAATGAATAGACACATCTCAAAGAAGTACAAATGGCCAGTAAAGGAAGAAATGCTCAACATTGCTGGCTTTTCAAGAAATGGAGGTTAAGACAACAATGAGATTCCATTTTACCCTGGGAAGGGTGATCATTATCAAGAAGTCAACAGAGAGACTGTGGGAGAAAAGAACGCTTCTACACAGTTGGTGAGAATGTAAACTGGTATTACAGCCACTATGGGGATCAGCATGGAGATGCCGCAAAAGTCTAAAGCTACAAGTTTCATTTGATCAAGCCATTCCTTTTCTTTCCAAAAGAGTTAAAGACTTGTATTGCAGTGATACATGATATATACATACCCATGTTTATAGCAGCACAACTCATAATAACTAAATCTTGGAATCTGTTTGTATGTTCATCAACAGATGAATAGATAGAGTATGTGGTCTTTGCACACATTAGAGTACTCAAAATTATGGAAGGAAAGGTGTATTTAGATCACAGTTTGTAAAGGTTTCAGTTCATAATCAGCTGACTCCAAGGTAGAGTGGCATGATAGAAGAGTGACCAGTCGTGGCAGCGGAAGACAGTAAAAACAAAAAGGGTAGGAGAGAGGGGAAGCTTCTTTCCCTCCCTTATACTGTATGGGCTACCAGAGGCAGAAGCTTCTCTTACTCCTATTCTTTTGCTCTTGTTGTTTTGATCCCCAGTACAAAAAAAAAAAAAAAAAAAAAAAAAAAAAAAAAAAAAAAAAAAAAAAAAAATTCAAATCTGCATGGCTTATCCTTTTGCTAGAGAAGAACTTCTGAGTAAATGCAATTTAATAAGGTATAAAATTGAAAATAAAGCTCAACAAAGCATAATCAGCTTGCTTGATAGCTATAAGCAGATTACCAAACTTAATCACTTTATAGGTACCATAATAATAAATATAAAAGTAGATGTACTTTATGAATAAATTATTTCAATTTTTATATTCTTTGGTACCAGGAATTGAACTCACAACTTCATGCTTGCCAGCCAGGCACTTAATGCCATTGAGCTAAATACCTGGCCCAGTATTTCATATTTGTTAAAAATAAAGGCATTGTGTAATGGTGTAGCTTCTCTAGGTAAATAATAGTTTAGTTAGCATGTTGTGTTTATAAGTTGCTGTGTGTTATTTTTAAAATCTGTGTACAGTTTAAGTATATGAAGTCAGCAACATGAGACATGGTGTTTCTTAAGAAAAAAAGACTTACAGTTGAGTAAATACCACTTGTTCTGGTTTATATCTAGATATCCCTCAAGCATCTTACCTGTTCATAGATAGGGCTTTAGGAATGTGTTTGTATTGTGGGGGTGTTATAGCTGGCTAGCTGTTAGAAGTGAGGTTACTAAAAGGATTAAAAGGAAATCAAGTACTTTATGTCAGAACAGTAGAAAATATGCCTTGAGAGCATCCCAACAATCAAGACCTCACACATCTCAGGTTCAAAAGTGTAAAAGTAAAAAACTTTTCTGTGAGAAAAGAATTCTAGGGCAACCTACTCAAGAAGGGCTGCCTATGGAACTGGATCCCAAAGATTTGCTTTCCAGTGTTTAGATACTCAGACACTTGGAGATCTTTGCAGCTATGACCTGAGGGAGCCTGGCTGCTTCTCAAACTGGCAGCAGACCTTGGTGTCGTAAATGTAATGTTGGTTTTACACATGCAGAATGCAAGAGTTGTGGGATCAGGGAGGCTTCCATCTGTTTCTCAGAAGAAGGCCTAGCAGGTCGGACGGTGTGCAGCTGAGAGGGCAGTGTTTAAAGCTTTGAGAGTGAAACTGAAACTATAGTGGGTACTCCAGGAAATTGGAGAAGACAGGCATGTGGAATGTCTGAGGAGAACCATAGGCAGTGATTGAAGTCACCTCAAAACAAAGGCCATGAGGGCTGCAATCAGCAGTGATTAGCTACAGGGTTACGCAAACCCTTTGGAGCTTACACTTTGCCACTGCCTGCTCTGGATGCTGGATTTGGGGCTAATATTTGCCTGCTGGGTTTTGGTCTTGAGTTTGGTTCCATTTCTTTTCTTTTTTTAATTTTTATTTATTTATTTATTTTTATTTTTACCGGTACCAGGGATCGAACTCATGACCACAGGCTTGCAAGGCAGGCACCTATGCCGCTGAGCTAAAACCCCAGCCCCGGTTCCATTTCTTTCATCTTTGTATTTCTCCTTTTGGAATGGGAATGTTTACCCTGTGCCATTGTATGTTGACAGTGTTTAACAAGGTTTTCATTGTTGTTACTATTATTGTTGTTGTTTAATTTAGTTTTTTTAACGATTCACAGCTAATTGAATCTCAGAAGAGACTTTGGACATGGACTTTTCAGCAATGCTGAAACTGTTAAGACTTCTGGCAACACTTAAAGATGGACTAAACATGTTTTGCATACAGAGATGGGCATGAATCTTTTGGGCTCCAGGGATGGAATGTTATGGTTTATATCTAAATGTCCCCCCAAATCTTTCCTGTTCAGAAACAGGGCTTATGGAAGATGACTGGAGTTTAAGGGTGTTATTGCTGACTTGCTGTTAGGAGGTGGGGCCTGATTAGAGGTAGATCACTGGGGGTGTGATCTGGAAAGTTATGTCTTCCTCCCTGTCTCCTCTTCTCTCTGCTTCTTGGGTGCCAGAATGTGAGCAGTTTTCCTCTGCCAGACCCTTGCATTTATGTGCTATTTGTGGAACTGTGTAGAACCCCTCTCAGTTTTAGCAGCTGCTCTCAAATTTAAGATATTTCCAGTGAGATAACTCATAAATGTCTGTTAAGATATTTCCAGTGAGTTTATTTAGTGATTTTGGAATTTCCCCCATGTCTATTGCTATATCCTGTTTCTTTTTGAAGATACTGCTACCATTCAAATCTTACAGTTTTTGGTGTTTTATCACCTCCTATTCATATTTTGGGACTCGCAGCAATACTTTGCCCATTTACTCGTCTCATATAACGTGTCTGTGGCTTTTTGGTTTTGCTCTCCTAGTTGCTGAGTCTAATTGGGTGGGTGGTATCCTGCATTCAAGAGAGATTCAGAATCATCCCCTTCATGTCAGACTTTTAATGAATGATGGTAAAATAACTAGACAGCCCTTGGAAACAGGATAAATTGGATCTATGCTATATATAAGAATAAATCAGTATTTTGGCCCTGAATCAAGGGTAGCAGTTTGTTGTAGCTGCTGGTTTTAAACAAGGGCCTAAAAAGAAGTCTTTCTAGAGTCTGTTGGCCATTTCAGAACTTTGGAAATGTAACAGTCAATTCATTAGAAAGCAATTAGAGCCCAATGCTGGGCAGAAGAAGAATTCATGTTCTGAGGCTCTGGGTGATCCGGTGAGTTTACATATGGCTCAGAGAAGAAGCCATGCCCCAAGGTCCTGCTGCTGCCTGAAGAAAGTCAGTGAACTGCTGTCCTGCACCTTCCTACCACTCCAGGACCCCCAGATCAGAGAAATGCAGATGCCTAGCCCAATCCCCTACACCGAGGGACTGGCTGCCAATGCACGAAGCACTCAGGAGCAATGGGTTGATTTAGGGAAATACAGGAAAATGTCAAGACAAAAGAACAAAATACAATCTCAGACTTCCAGCCCACACAGAACAAGTTTAGGAGACATAGACATAGTAGAAATTAGAGGTTATATACCTGAAATTTCAATTTAGTTCTCTTATTGATTTGTTAATTTTACATGCCTGAGCTGGGGATTTAACTCAATGGTGTAAGTACCTACCTGGCAAGTGCGAGGTCATGAGTTCAATCCCCAATTCCCCTCCCCACCCCTCCCCCCACAAAAAAAGAAAAAGAAAACATTTTATGTGCCTGTGTGTGATGGTCTGGGCAGCTATTTTGAAGATAGCAAGATGTATTATGCTAAACATAGTTGATTTCCTATTATCTTGTTTTAAAGTCCTCTATCACTTTCATTGTTTTATTTTGTTTGGCTTTATTCTGTTTCATTTGGTTTGATTTTAATCTCTTTAAAGTTTAAAAAAAAAAAAAGGAAAAATCCCTAATCTATTTAACTTTACAAGTTCCAGAAAACAGAAAAATGCATTGCTTCCTCTTAAACCTGGGTGCAGGGAAAAATCTAAATGTGAGTAGAAATCTAGATGTGATAAAAAATATTGGTTATTTGACATATAAAATTGAAAACCTTATGTGTGGTTAAAATTCTACCATGAAGTCAAGACAGTTAATGCCAGGTGTGGTGACATATGCTTGTAATTTGAGCACTTGGGAGGATGAGCCAATAGGATGGAAAGTTCAAGGCCAGCATGGGCAATTGAGCAAGACCCTGTCTCAAAAAGTAAAAACAAAGGATACTTAGTGCATGAGCGCCTGGATTTAATCCTTACCACTGAAAAAAAAATTTTTAATGACATTTAATAGCTAAATGGCAAACTTGTGAAATATATCTGCAGTGTCGCACAAAGGGCTGGTACATATAAATGATCTTTAAACATACGATTGACTTTACTCAAGGAGTAATTTAACATGGCAGACTTATTTGTTCATTTTACAGAAGATGATTTATTTGAAAAAAGATGCAAAAGAAAGGATAGAAAGCCATGATGAGAGGATGATGGGCATCAGAGCAGAGTGCCCAACAGATTTTGTATGCAAATTAAACTTATACTATGGTACTGTTTCATATTTTATATTGGAAGAAAATTAAAAATATAACTATACTTTTTGATGAGATTGAGAAGAAACTGACATTCTCACATTGCCAGTGGTAATACAGAGGAACAGCCTTTTTGCCGAAGGGAGTAGCTGACAAAATTTTGCATTTACCTATTGAACCAGCAGTTCCACTGAAGATAAGGCTTTGATGATGTTTAAGGTCATCATTGGAGCATTGTTTGTAATTGCCAACTATTCAAAACAGCTTAAATACTTCTATATAAAATATGTATGAATAAACTATTTCTTTCACAGATGGGCTTCTTTGGAGCTATAAAACTAAAGATGCTTTCTATGGAATGAGAGAATAATTTCCAAGAAATACTGTTAAGTAAACAAAGTTAATTGCAAAAGATTGATCTATTACCTTTAAGAAAGGAAAATCAATGTATTTTATAGGAAATATTCACGTTTATTTTATACCCAAAAAGATTAAATCAGGAAATTACCCAATTGGTTACTTAATGTAACCAATTGTGCTTGAATGAGCAGGGTGAAAAGGAAGTGTGGGACTGAGCAGAGTGGGAGATATTCTTGGGACCAGTGGAGGAATTTAAATAAGGCTTATAGATTATCATATCAGTGTTGATTTTTTGATTTTGGTAAAATACTGCAGTTACACAAGAGAAAGGCCTTATTTTTTTAGAAAAAAAATAAACACCAAAGTAGAGGTAAGTCTCACCTGGCTTAGAAAAAAATGGTGGTTGTATGTGAAGAGAGAATAAATAAATGTAAGTTGTTAATTGGGAAACCTAGGTGAAAGGAACAGGAGAATTGTGTGTTTTATTCTAGTGGCTTTTTAGTAAGTTTGTAATCATTTCATAATTAAAAGGCAGGTGTGTATTTGTGTGTGTGTGTGTGTGTGTGTTTGAAATGAGGTCTTACCATGTATCTCAGACTAGACTCAAACTCATTAGCTTAAATAATTCTCCTGTCTTAGCCTTCTGAATGTCTAGGACTACTTGTATCTCTTTGTCTAACCAATTTTTTAAAAAAGCTATATCATTACTGTTAGCCAATTTTCTAGAATCCTCTTAATGGTCATGAGATTTTTTTGCCATTAATCTTAAAGGATTTAATCTATTTTCATAAAGGAGCACTATTTTATAAATCTTGTGGAGGAATTCTTACCTTATGCAGTGAATACTATAAACAAAGTATGAAATGTACCTTAGATATCAACTCTTGTATTACATGTCTTTAATCTTTAGAATAAGCATGTTGAGATACTGGTAGGGATTTTGTTTCTGATCTATTAACTAATTTCTAATGTTTATTTTGCATTATTTTTTACCAGTCTTGCCATAGTTTATAAACTTGCATAAATCCAATTTTTAGTTTTACTTTATTGTCTTTTTAAAATTTTATTTAATTTTTTTTACTTCTATTTGTGTCTTAGTTACTTTTCTCATTCCTTGGACAGAACACCCAACACTCACAAATTAAAGGAGAAAAGGTTTGTTGTTCACACTCTATAAAGGTTTCAGTCTTTTGTCAGCTGGCTCCAAGGCAGGACTGCATGGCGGAGAGGCACCATATAGAAGAAACAGTCCATGGCGAGATGTCAGGAAGCAGAAAAGCAGCAGGCAGTGAGCCTGCCTGCCCTCTTTTTCCCTTATATAGTACTCATCCAGGCTATAAGCTTCTTGATTGGTGACATCCACACCCAGAGTGGGGCATCCATTATCCACACTGGAAATCGTGCTAAACCGATTTAGTTATCACACACTTATTCACTCACCTTAGATCTAGCCACCTCTGAAAAGCCCTGCTATGAGCACATGAGGCTTTGCGGGGACATCCAGATACAAGTCATAACAATTTATATTCTTTTATTTTCTCTAATTTCGCTTTCTAACATTCTGGGATAGATTTTAAGTTTTCAGTCTTCTTTTCCCATGTGTGCATTTCAGGTTATAAGATCTTTGGGAAGTACTACTATAGTTGGATCCCACAGATTTTTTGATTTGTAAATTTTGTTTGTAAATTTGTAAATTTTGTTTAATATCTATTTCATTTAAAAATATTTTTCAGTTTTCTTTGAACCATAACTTCCATACACATATACCTTTATGCCAGTTATTATTGCTACATAATAAACTACTCCCAAACTCAGTTGTTTAGAACAGATTTTTCCTTCTGTTCTTTGTGAGTTGGCATTTCCTTTGCTGGTTTTGCCTCATTTCACTTATGAGGCAGGTACTTTTTCATTGCTATTATTTTACTTTTATACTCTCAGTAAGTTTGGAAGTTACTCTTTTTTTTTTTTTTACTGGTTACCCTATAAATTTAAGCATGTTACTTTTCAAGTCTAAACATTACTAACACTCCACACCCCATCCTCCTAAAGAGTAGAAGGATTTTAGAACACTACCATCATCTATTTTTTTCTTGGTTTATATAGATTTTTTATAGTGCTATTTTTAAATTCAGCTATACAGAGTTATACCATATTAAATATTAAATATCAATTTTGTAATTTTAAAAAATTTAATGTTACTTTAGGTCAGTGTTGCTTTTTGTATTTTAAAAATAAGTACCTAAAATTTTTAATGAATTTCTTAAAAGTACACTCTGCATTGTTTTATGGGATATGTCTGGAATTCTGACATGTAAAATCTTTTTAGGTCAGTTTCTGATTTTTTAATTTCTCTTGGATCATGGTTACAGAATATAGTTTTCTTTGTACTTGATTATTTTGGATTTTGGCTTAGACATTTTATTTAAAATTACTACTCAGAGTAATTTTGAGCTTATATTAAACATATTTTTCTTTAAAAAGCAAAGTTTACGTTTTTAGGTCCCTGGATGCAAGGTCAGTTAGGGAACAGTTTAAGCCAAGTTCCTTAAAAGCATATTTAAAAAATTTTTAGTAGAACATTTTAATAAAAGTGAGATTCAAAATTCAGATTCTATAGTTTTGTTTGCCAATGAAGTTACATTGAGACACTCTCCCCCATCTTGTCTTCTGATCATTTCTGTATAGTTATCTAACTGGGGCATGGGAATTGTTTATTACGAATCTAGTGTTTATTTCCTTGAATACTTTCTCTGCTGTTTTTTGTTGTTCTGTACTGAAGGTTGCTCCAGCTGAGCAGGTGCTCTACCACTGAGCTATATTCCTGGCCTTACTGTTACTCCTTGGGGCTAAGGAGTCACTGTTCTATATTTACCCTGGATACAAGTTATTTGTGAGGCAGAAGAAAATGCTTTTGCTTTCAGGGCGTATAATACTGTTTCAAATCTTTATCTGGTTCTTTAAATTTTTGTCTTTCCCTCCCTGTCATTTCTATCAGTTCTCAGTTCTGGCTCATTGCTGTTCCCTTTCATTTCTAGTAATTTCTGTTACTCTCCTTCCATTCCCATAGCCACTTCCTTTGTTCAGATGTTCATCATGTCCGCTGTAGGCATAATCATGTGGGTGCCTACGTATTCTCACTGAAGGCAGGGATTGTCTATGGTAGTATTTTACCCCCACTTTTACAGATGAGAGTCAGTTTCTCTCACTCTCAATAGCCATTAACGTGTTTTGGGTCTTTACCATGTGTTAGGCTCTGTTATAAGCACCATACATCTTTTAACTAATGGTGCTACTGT